CAATAGCCCAGACCATATCCTCTGTAGACATGTTAGAGTTGGAGAACGGGTCATACCTCATGTGAGGTGCATCCCTTTCGTAACCAACATCATCAATTTGTTCAAGGTATTCATCTTGGAACTTTGGGCAGAAATCCGTAAAATGCCTGTGAGACATGCAAATGTTGCATGTCTTGGCATCTTGAGCTTTCGAGTTTAAGATAAATCCCTTTATTAGAGAAGTCAAGAAGGAAATTTGACTCTCTAAGGATGATATGTTGGCATCCATATACTCATAACTCATGTAAGCTCAGAAAATAGAAGAGTAAGATTTTTTTTTTAATTTTTTTTTGTTTTTGATTTTTATGAGATAAAATAAAAAGAAAAATAATTGCCTTTCCCCGGCAACGGCGCCAAATTTGACGTGCACTTGTCGTGAGGTGCACTCAAAATAAATACAATACGACACTAATACGTAGTATAGCGAAGTAAGGTTCGTATCCACAGGGAAAGGAATATTTCTCTTTTTAATTAACTAGTAACAAAGGGGGGTTTTTAGATTTGATTTGATTTAATTAGCACTAAGATGAATGACTTAAATGAGTTTAATTAATGAGAAGAAGACTTGGCTTTGCTTTTATCCACTTAATGAAATGTTCGTCGATCCCGGTTATATCTTTAACTATCTTCCTCTCGAATACTCAATCGAGGAGTATATCCAGTTCATCGAGGGTAGTTATTAATAACGAGAAGCGTTCATTAATAAAACTTACTATCGAGTCAATATAGAACAAGCGTCGTCGTATATTAACTTGATAGTAGCAATAAACTTAAGATGAAAACGATTGAGATTGATAACCTCAACACAAGCGGTTTGTTGGTTAATCAATGTAATTAATTCCCCTTAGATTATTGACCATGAGATGCATGCATTAATAATCCAAGTTTACTACCGTGAAAGGACCGAATTAATAACAAGCGTATTAATCGACCGATTCTAGTATTAATTAATATATGAAACAAAACTAGTTGATCCTTTAAGTAATGTTCAAAATATTAATATGAAATATCAATAAGAATTAATTAATACTCAAGAAAGAATATTAAAGAAGATGAATCCTATTATAGTTAATATCAAGATGTTAACTAATTGTCATCTTAGTAACACTCCCCGATATTAACGTAGAGGAAGAAATAACTATTACTATAACTAATGTCAAGATGTTAACTAATTGTCATCTTAGTAACACTCCCCAACATTGATATAGAAATAGTATTTAAAGAAAGAATTAATATTCAAGGAAGAAGATTAAAGAAAATAACTCACAACTTACAAATTCATTAAGCTTCAAAGGAGCAAAACCAAGATGGAAGAGTTTAGCTCCTCATTTGGAGACTAAACATGCTATAAAAATATAAAATAAATACTATTATAAACTGAGCTTAAGAGTATGGAAGAAGGGATGATTAAAAGTGAAGGAAAATGGGACTATTTATAGGTGTTTTGAAGGTGCTGCACCGGATACCCGGCCGGGTATTTGAGATACCCGACCGGGTATTTGTCAAAATCAAATATTTTGCCCACGATTTTGTGTTTTCTGCACGTCTTTTTGTCCGGGTCACTTCATACCCGACCGGGTAAAGGCTATACCCGACCGGGTAAGTCACCAAATCACATTTCTTGCATGATTTCTTGTTCCCTTGCACTTTCCTTTGATCTTGTAAGATCCCTTCCATGATCCTTTGTTGATTCTTGATTGTTTCTTGCTCAAGATGATTCTAAATTTACTAAATTACAACAAACTAGAAAAATAAAATGATTGCACCTTAAATGTGCAATTACCACAACAACACACCATAAAAAGTAATTAAAAGTAAAAATATAAACACTCAAAAATCAATGCAATCAAAAGAGCCGATCGGAAAAATGATAAATCCCACCCAATCAAAGCAAGAGGAACATGGGAGTAAGAATACCCAACAAAAAAACAGGGGACAATTCGTATGGTTAATTATGTTCTTGAATTATTTATGATTTTGTTTGGCTTTGAAGCCTGTTCTATTGTTCTTGAATCATGTTTGGATGTTGTCGACTTCCGTTTCCGGAAGAAGGTTGCTGCGCAGAAAGGAGCTTCCTGCAGAGCGTTGGGGGAGACGACATGTGCTGTGGGGCAGAGGGCACTTTTGGACTAATTAATACTTTTAGTATTAGAATAACCCTAAAAGTTGAACTTATTTACTATAAAGCCAAGAAGCAGGTAAAAGCATCTACTTACATGCTTCTGCTTTTGACTCAAATCAGCTTAAATTTAATTAGAAGTTTCTCTTTACAAACCCCCATTTTAGCTTTTACCTTTCAAAATAGCTGAGAAATGCTTTTAAAAGCAATAGCAAACACAGCCTTAGACTGATAGTATAATTTGTATGTATCTTATACTATATGACGTTGATTTATTTATTATAAATTATTTTATTAAGATATTGTTTTGCATTTTCACAAATATTCAAATTGCAATTTTCATAATTTGTACTACTGCATAATTAAATATATTATTTGTAAAGAAGTGTGTTGAAAAACTGGAAGTTCAATTTTTTATTCTAATGGATGTTTGGAATTGATTATGTTTCTACTTTTTAAAATAAGAAGTAGAATCACAATCAGTTTTTCAGCAGTTGATCTCCGTTTTAAAAAAACAATCTTCTACGAGCAATTTAGAGCATTCAAGAGTATTTCTGCACTAGCTTTCACTAAAAAAAGCCCTAATAAAAGGCCCTCTAAAATTTTAGAAGATATTTTGACAATCAACAAAAAGAATTATACCAATTACTCGATTCTCGATTTGTTTTGTCCAATGTGTATATCACTTTTTTGTAGTATCCTTTATTGTTGAGGTTAAGAGAGTGTTTGCAACTGTTTAAAAAAATCATTTATCGGCTTTTGGCTTAAAAATGTTAAAATTAGTGTTTTCAAGTAACAACTTCTACTTTAAACGCGCTTCTCGGATTTTGGCTTAAAAGTGCTTTTTACCTTTTCTATTATACGAAAAACACTTATTTTTAAGGATGACAATTGGGGTGGGGACCCGTGGGGAACCGCCCCGCGGGGGAAGGATGGGGTGGGGTTTGGGGTGGGACGGGGGCGGGGGATGAGTGAGATATTTTTACCCCGCTAAAATATGGGGTGGGGGACGAGGATTGCTTCACCCGCCCCGTCCCCGTTTTACATATATAGTCAAACACACACACACACACATAAATAATGTATAAAGATATTTAATTAAATTATATCTTGTATATAAGAAAGACATACATGTACATATACACCTTTTTTTGGTCATGGTTAATGAATTAATACATATTATATATATTATAATAATAAGTAATGACTGAAAATATTTATCATAAATGTAATATGAGTTTTAAAACTGAGAAAGTGAGTAAGTAAATAGAACACACACACATATTATGCATATAATATATATAAACACCCAAACTTTCATATGTAAAAAACCCCAAACTTTATATAAACTGGTAAATCCTATTTTATTAGTGCTAATAAAGAACATAGGGGAATAATCACTACATCTAGGTTCCAACAAAATGAAAGTGGTCATGTATCATTTGTTTCAAAATATAAATTTATGATGTTAATTGCATAATTTAAATTAGCAAATTCAAAACGTTGCAATTATATAGTGTGAGGGATAGTAATATTTATTTTACAATGGAAGTTTAGAATGTTAATTGTATCTTCATGAATGCTAAAATATTTTAAATTATGAAATTAACATAAAAATTTAACATTTTTGAAAAAATAATGTATGACCATGGTGCTAAAATAACTTTTTATATAAAGTTTGAGTATTTAAATTACATATGCAAGTTTGGGGTGCTTACCTCACACCCCTTCAAAGTTTGAGATATTTTATTTATTTTCCCCTATATATAAAATATAATTAATTGTATTATAATTGATGAGAAACATGGAAGAACATGTTTACTTATATTTAACTTTTATGGTCTTCACGTAACTTATTCAAACCGAAGAATTATTAAAAATTGGCGGTAATAAATTTTATCAAACACAATATTTTCTGCTAGTTTAACTCTGTCACTACTATACACAAACATATACTACCTTCGTTCCACAGTTATGTCCCTAGTTGCACTTTTGGGTCAAAATTTATAAACTTTGACTGTTAATTATTCATAATTTACACTACTATATCATACAAAATTAATTTTATATACTTATTTGGAATGTGTATTATTCAAATATTAATTTATATTAGATTTTATAAGAAGATTTTGAGATATTTAGTGTCAATCGTCCACCTTGAATAACGCAAAAGTCAAACTGTTAACTTAATTGAGAGACGAAGGAAGTATGATGGATTAAAAAATACGTAAAAGTCAAATTGTTAACTTAATTGAGGGACATAGGGAGTACAATGAATTAAAAAATATGTAAATATGATAAATAAAATGTATATGAGGGCACCCGTGGGGGACAATGGAGTGGGGCGGAGTCGGGTCTATAAGTAACAGTGGACGGAGCGGGGATGAGGAGAACTTTTTAGATATGGGACGGGGATGGGGGAGTGAACCCCCGCCCCAAACTCGCCCCATTGTCATCCCTATATACTTTATCAAATATCATCAACGTTTACTTTTCAAAATTAATTTTTTTCTATCACTACCAACTTTTACAACTAATAATGTTTTCCAAAATAATTTCCAAAAGATTTTTTAAGCAAAATAGTTGCAAACTTCCTGCAAATCGCAAGTCAGCTCCGCTTCTATCAGCGAGCCATATTACGCCGAGCCACACCTCTGTGGGGTTTACCGGCAATAGCCAGTAACCTTGCACAAATTTGCATTTGGCATGAATTTCAGTGTCATTTTGGCCCAAATCCCAAAACGCTCGTGGGAACTGTGAAGGGTGTGCAAATCCAACTCCAGTCAGATTTTAACCCTGAATCTGACTCTGGTTCAGTTTTATTTATAGAGAAAGAAAAATAGTTCAAAGGCCAGCCGGGATTCGTAGTTCAATTTCGCTCTCTGATATTAGCCTTTCTTAATTTTTATGTAGACGATGAACAGTTTCTTCAACCTTCTGTTGAGTTATACAACCTTTGATTGAGTGATGGATGTAGACTAAACAAAAATATAGAGTAAAAGAGGGGTCTTTAGGTTTTCTAGCACTAGTTTGGCTATCATTATTTCTTCTATTCTGGGGGGTTCTTGTTTTCTTGTTGGTCATTTCTGGTATTTGATGGGTTCTGAGGTAGATGAACTAGAATTAGTAGTTTTTGTTGAAGAAGCACAAAATTGGAGTTCTTGTTCTCATGGCAGACAAAAATGGCTCCTTTTATTCCACCCTTTGTAGTGAAAGTTTGGAGATTGCTTCTCATTAGTGATAACACCAACTGGTTTTAGTCTTCTTTCTTCTTCCCTCTCGTTTTCTCTGTAAATTTCTTTACCGTTTGACCAAAAACCAGAACAAAACTTCGTACTTCAATTGACTGATAAACTGAAGCCATGAAGAGGTCTCTTGATAGCACCGATTCATTGGGTGCTTTGATGTCCATTTGTCCAACCACACCAGGTGCTTGTCGAAATTCCCCACAGAAATTTGATAAAAGATCAATGCTTTCCTGTCCTCTGTGCTGTTATGATTAACGATATCCTAATTATTTAATTTGATTAGGAGGGGACCCGAATCAAGTGAGCAACCATGTCTACCCCAGGGAATTCCAGACGATGCTGGAGGGATTTGATGAAGAAGGGTGCGAGGAAGAAACAGGGGGTATGATGATGACGGAGAAGAAGAGGCGTCTGAGTGTGGAGCAGGTGAAGGCTCTGGAGAAGAACTTTGAGGTGGAGAACAAGCTTGAGCCGGAGAGGAAGGTCAAACTGGCTCATGAGCTCGGCTTGCAGCCGAGACAGGTGGCTGTTTGGTTCCAGAACCGCCGTGCACGGTGGAAGACGAAGCAGCTGGAGAGGGACTATGGTGTCCTCAAGGCCAATTACGATTCTCTCAAGATCAAGTATGAGTCACTCCACCATGACAATGAAGCTCTCCTCAAAGAAGTAAGTTTGCTGACTCCCAAACTTCAATTTTAATAATTTCGAAATTTTAGATCAAATTAAGTTTTGTTTCTAATGGATTGTCCTTGTTCTTTCAAAAAAATTGGATTTTCATTGTTTTTGGGAACATTGAAAGTTGTAAATTATTACAGTATGAGTTAATTTCATGGCATTTGATTTGTAAAAGCTGAGTTTTTTACATTGAAGTTAAGAGTAGGATTACCTTAATCTAATTCTCGAAACTTGATCAAAATTTGCTATTTTTGAGTTATTGAATTATTATATCTAAAATTTTGCCAAGGTATTTGTCAAAGTAATCAGGTCAAATTTCCAAAAGTAACAACAAAAAAAGACTGATCATGAGGACACTAATAAGAATTGAATTGAATGTTCGAATTTAGATCAATATAAAAATTGTGTCAACTATTTTGTTTCTTGAAAAATCATGGATATTTGGGGGTAAAGACGACACGCAATTTTTTATAGCTATTTACATAGGATGATCACAAATTCTATAATCTACATGTCCAAAGCATTTCTTCATCCGAATGATCCGAGCTGATATAATACTACTATCTCCGTCCCCTTATCGTGTCATTGCTGTTTATGCTTACCGATTCAGATTATATTTAGAATTTTTTGTACATATTCAGAAATTTTATTAAAAGTTTTACCAAATCACAAAAAACAGAACCAAATTTGATAAAAGTTTAATATATAATAAAATAAAAGATTAAGAGTGATATGTATTGGAATAAAAAATGAGAGTGGCAGGACGTAATATTTTTGTCCCTATGATAATTGGAGTATACTCCGTATTATGAAATAATACAGTTTGACCAAGTCTAACATTTGCTTGTCATAACGTTATACGTAGTACTGCGTAGGATTTTGACAATAGCACATTTTTCAAACATTAATCCTTGTTTGACCCTCCAAGTTTCAATTATTACTTCGTACATTCTGATTATAGTTGAAAATGCTACACCGATTGGGAACAGTACGTATGGACAATTATTTTCTCGGCGTTGTGTTTTTAGATGCAATTTATTAGTCTAAGTGTGGTAACATAGAATTTCATTGAAATTGACTAAATTCTCCGTTGATTCTACTGAAATTATAGATGGAAAACGTCTCAGTCCGGCAGAATATGATTAATTGTTAAAAATTAGACTTATATTATAAGGAGTACTTATTAATCAAATAAAGAAAAAAGCTTGTGAAAAAATAATATTCTTCGTCTCAAAATTAATAATGACAATAAGGATGTTTTTACTTGGACTGTAATTTGCTGGTCTGGTCTGGTCTGAACTGGTCTGGTCTGGTAAGGTCTGGTTTCTTTGTATTTTTATAACTATCCAAGTCTGGTCTGAACTGGTCTGAACTGGTCTGGTCTGGTCTGGTCTGGGACAAATTACAGTCCAAGTAAAAACATCCTAAGTTTTCGTGTAGTTAAAGAACCCTTTGAGAAATAGAAAGTTTTTTATACGGTAGTTTATAAAAAAGTATTTCAAGGTTTTTTAGATGATCTCAAAAGGTAAATGACACAATCAATTTGAAACATAAAGTAAGATACGGAGTACTTATTTTGAAATGAATAAAGTGCGTGGTAGTTTTTAGATAAATACGGAGTACGTAGTAGAAAATTATGGATACAAATAGGAAACAATTATGTATGTGTGGTTAAAATGAAACTTGTTTACAAAATTTGACCATCTTATGTTTACTCACAATAACAATGATATAGTCATTGTAAGTTGACTTATACTCCTATTTATCAGTCATTTTTATCAATAATTTTTATTTAAATCGTCTTTTTAGGTAAATATTAGGTGGTAGTTATTTTCATAAATTTATATCCAAAGAATAAGTGTAGCCGAAAATAACATCATTATTACATCTTTTAATTGATACGCTCAATCGAACTTAATTGATCAGTTTTGATAAACCGCAAAGGTTGCAAACAACTCTAAACTCATTTTTGGACCATGATTTTATCTTGTCCTGTAGATCCGGGAGCTGAAAGGGAAGCTAGACGGAGAAAATGGAGGGAGCGAAGCTATGGTGAAGGAAGAAGCCATTGAATCGGAACAGAGCATCCCGCAGGCAATTTCTCTGCTCAAAGACCACGACGATGAAACAGAGGTCAACCTCGATGACGGCCATGGAGCTTTGATCGATTTTGCGGATCTCAAAGACGGGTCATCGGACAGCGACTCAAGCGCGATCCTGAACGAAGAACGCAGCCCCAATTTGACAGCCGGAATGCTATGCTCCGGCGCGTTCTTGAACTACTTCCAGTTCGAGCACCCGATGGCGGGAGGTGCACGCGAGAAGGCCGAGGCGTTGCAGCCAGCCTCGGCCTCGCATTCGGTGAAGGTGGAAGAGCACAACTTCTTCGGGGGAGGCGAAGAATCGTGCACCAGCTTGTTCTCCGACGAGCAAGCTCCGATTCTGCATTGGTACTCGCCGGAGGACTGGAACTGAATGAAAATTACAGAAACCCCTCCGATCAGATGGGAGGAAGATGATCACTGGGAAAAAACAAAAAAGGTTTTATTTTGTAAAATTGAAATGAATATATTATCTGATCATCATCACGAGTACAGTAGAACCATGTGAATGATGGCTGATCTTTCTTTTTCCCTGGCCTATTGCGTAGATCAAGTTGTTGTCTTCTTTTTCGTTTCGACAAAAGCCGGACACAAGAGTTGACAGAAAGTGACAGGGGTGGTGCACGTGGGTCATCGGGATTGGTGGCCCTAGTGGTGTGCAGAGAAAGTATGAGTAAAAACATACTCCGTATTTTTACTGCTTTTTGTCGTGTTTAGGCTATTATCTGTCAATTAAATAATAAAACGTGAAATATCTCAAGAACATGATTTCCTTTGTCATTTTTCTTTACTTCCGATGGATGCCTCCAAAATTTCGCAACATTTCGTTGGTAATCAAATTTCAAAACCTTGAGAGACCGAACAAGTATGTCCTAAAAAAAGGATAAAGTGTCAAATAAGTTTTGTTCCCATCGTGCAAACTCAATTTAGTCATCGAATTAAAATTTCATTTTTTACGGATAAACAATCAGTCATTTTTTAAATATTTTTATTGTTTCTGTTTTTTATTTTGGATTTATTGCAATTTTGACACTTGTTAATAGTTTAGGAGTGTGAATTGGATTTTTAGCGGTTGTATAATCATAAAAAATAAAATTTGAATCCTTTTTGTGGATTCGTGGTGTGAATTGGACCTTTTTTAGTTAAATTGAGCTTACACCATACTTTACTTTCACATGAAATTTATGAATCCGTCTATTCAAATGTCATTAGGCTTTGATGAGTTAGACTTTGGTTTTGGAACAAAGGAGGAATTTGTGCAGCCAAAGTAACTTACCATGAAAACATTTGAGTTTAGATACATGAAACACATCATGGATTGAGCTTTAGGTTGCCAACAGAGTAATGAGAGTATAAGCTGCTCATCCGATTATAGTAGCTATTTGAAATGTGACCCATGGTATTTGTTTGACATCTTTTGATTAATTACGTGTCTTACTTATCGTTGTTTGTATGGTCTAATTCAAGCCATAGAAAATTGTCTTTGTGATCTCTTTTTACCAGTCAAAAATTTTGTTCCAAATTGAACTTTCACCAATCTTGTTTCCACAATATCAATTATTATAGGCTCTTTTTCGCGTAAATGTATCTACTGCTTCATACTCCGTATTTTAATTCTCCACGTAAGGTAGATATAAAGGAGGTGGTTGGTTAAATGTAACCTCATATATATGGTGTTAACCCTATAGTCTATAGATGAATAGAAATGATGGGTATTATACCTATATTCTGATTATGATACTATACCATAATCTGCATTCCTTAAGATTATCTCCACACATACATCTCAAATAAGCATCCCAACATCTGTTTACTATTTCTGTTTGACTGTCTATTTGAGGTGATAAATCTGTCCCATGTAATGAAAATAAAAATTTCCAAAATTTACTTAAGAGTACAACATTTGTGCCAGTGACTGTACTTCTTGGCCATCCATGCCAACTTGAATATATTGTCCAGATAAGCTTGAGCAACCTCTACTTTAGTGACTGGGTGAGCGAGAGCTATAAAATGAGCTGCTTTACTTGCTGTCTATCTACTACAACCATGATAAAATTCTGTATTAATTTAAACTTTTCCTATTGTGATTTGTGCAATCCTGTAATAAAATTCATAGAAAATTAGAAATGTCCACCCACACTTCTTTAGGTTTAGGAAGAGTCTGTAACAATTCTGGATATGGTGTAGTATCAAATTTGAAAGCTGGACAAATTTGACATTCTCTCACAAACCTATTGACATCTTTTGTCATCCCTTTCCAACAAAACAATGTCTTTACCGTTTTAGTTTTTGATATCTTCCACTATGGGCTACTTCCCCACTTGAGTGATATCAAGATAGCTTTTTCCCTTCAAATCATCATAATTACCAATGAGCATTCTTCCTTTTTTTCTTGCTTATTCCACTATTAGGGATCGGAAGAAGTGATGTGTAGATGCATTCCTGTAAGTATATACTAGCCCTTTAGGAAGATCGATAAGTCCATATTTTGATAGTCGTCACACATTTTATGTGTGCATGAATTGATTTTATACGATTTTCTTGGCTTAAACAAGTCACAAAGGACTAAATTAATTCAAGTTATGATTTAACGAGCTTTCTTCTGTATTTGGTATTTTAGTTTGGAAATCATGAAATTGAACTCGACATCGATATTGGAGAATGTATTGGATGATTAGAGACACTTCTGAGATCATTTATGGAGAAAAGTGCGTCCACCATACTTAGAGAAGACCATTTGTGAAGAAGAAAAATGGATAAACCATTTTGAGCCTGGCCCTTTATTTGACCATCAATGATTTGAACTCTATTTCATAAATTACATTTGTCTTTAGCCATGAACGTTTTTTTACAATGTTTTGGTGTCTAGGGTGCTATGGGTGATTTTACTATTTTTAGAGAGTTCTTTAAAAGTCACTTTTAGACCGTTCCTATGCCTCAAATGGGGGTAAGAGTAGTCAATTTCTAGTAATTTGATTTTTGTTGATGATTACGCATGAACTCACTTCATTAATCTTAATTAATTCAAACTTTCCTTAGTGAAACCGATATTAGAATGAGTTAATGTCTAACAATTAAAAAAAATTGACCTCTTACATTTCAAAAAAGGGAATGAGTAAACCAGGAAAAAAACATACGTATTTACAGAATAAGATGAGATTTGGTTAAAAGAAACAGCGTTTTCATGTCAAATGTCAAATGACAAGGAAAATCAAACAAAAACTCAATTGGATCTAAAGGTTTTCACATTTTTTTACATTAGTTATTTGTGTACTTCAAGTATGCATCAATGCACCAAAGTACAACGACAATTTAGTTCAGCTGTTTTTTGTTCATTATACCACTTTTCTTGATATTTTTAATTTAAATAAGTTAAATTAGGGGTGAACATATCCATTTCGATTAAGATTTTATCGGTTTGTTATTCAGTTAGAAATAGATTGGAAGAAACATTTTCAAACAAAACTATACTATATTTCGGTTTGGTTCAGTTTGATATATTGCAGTTTGGATTTGTTATTTTTAATAATATATTAAGATTTATATATAGAGATATTTTTATTTCTGATCGGTTTTATTCAATTTTCTAGATTGTGGTTCGATTCGTTTTATTACGAATACTATCAAACTCAAACTGAATTGCATATTGTTGAATTTTTATTCAAGTTATTTCGGTTTGACATGGTTTTTGTCTAAGTTAAATTACTATATTTTCTATGTTTATTATCACTTTTGCTTCAAAATACTCTTCATACCCCTTAAAACTTTGCAAAGTTTGATAACACATTAATAATATATTGAAAACTAAAAATTATGTGATTGAGATTTGAACATAAACGAAAATAATAAAAAGAAGGCTAAGGATCAAATAGGTACATGAACTAACTTAAAGTGTTCAATTAGCCCCTTATATAGGAGGTTCTGCCCGGCCGTCGCCAATTGGGGCGGTTCCCAGCTGAATTTTTTGATGAAATTTTTTGAGCATCTTCTTCATTAAGTCTAGTTTACTCATATCAAATTTCAGATAAAAATTAAATTGGGAAGGAAGTCAAATGATTTTCCAAAATGTACTGCGTTGTTTAACTGCGCAGTTATCTTCAAAAAATCATTTGACTGCCTTCCTGGTTGAATTTTTAGCTGAAATTTGGTATGGATAAACTAGACTTAATGAAGAAGATTCTCAAAAAATTTCATCAAAAAATTCCACTGGGAACCGCCCCAATTGGCGACGGCCGGGCAGAACCTCCTATATAAGGGGCTAATTGAACACTTTAAGTTAGTTCATGTACCTATTTGACCCTTTAGCCTAAAAAGAATCACGAATAAACTAATTAAAAGAGAAGGTTACATAATTTTTGAAACAACTAAAAAGAGAAAATGACAAAATTAGAAAGCGTAAGATGTGGGAGCAATACTACATATTTTTCGGGTCATCAAAGTGGCCCATATTTTTTGGGTTGATGGCGATTGATGACTTTATTGGCATAAAGATTGCCCCACATCACATGCACCCGTGGCCCCACATGGGCCTTTCATATCTGTGGGCCCATCAAAAGTAGGGGACTGCACTCGATTCTTTCAATGCTCAACATCTGTATGACGCTACAATCGTCTACATTTAGTGATAAAAATGGACCAGAAATAAAGCAACTGGAATCTCCTTTTGTGACATTGTCTCCCACCAAATCGCCATTTTTTGCTCATTGCTTGCATTTGCTAAGGCAGTATTTTGCTAATGCTTCTTCGTACCATATTCAAGTCTTGGATTAATAACAATTAGCTGCAACGTTGTCAAAATACTCCGTATCAAATAGTACTCGGTTCGGTTCCTTTAGAAAGAGGAGGTAGTAGGATGATTAAAGAAGATTAGAGTTGTGTGGGTGATGTTGAGCTGATTAAGTGTTTTAAATAGGCAAAATGCAATATCATGTTTTGAATAGGAGTAATTTTAATGTTTGTACAAATATACCCCTAACCAAGCCTCAACCACTTTCATTAATAATTAAAATATAACAGAAATAACATTAAAATAAAAATTAAAAAAAACATGAAATATATATTATATAAAATATACTCATCATATAAAATTAGTAAAAAATATTATTAATAAATTATTAAATAAAAACTAAAAACTAAAAATAAAAAAATATATAAAAAATATGTAGGCCTCCGTCGCCGCCTCAACAACCTCCCAACACTACCAGCTCTGACCAGCGAAAAAATGGCAACGTTTGTCAGAAATACCATTTTGATGGCAGTTTTTGAAAAAATTGGCATTTACAAAGAGTAAAAAAGGCATCTCTATTGCATTTTCAAAGAAAAATGACAGTTTTTACATAAAATGACATTTTTTCCGCCGATCGGATGTGGCATTTTTGGGTGGTGGCGGAGACTACGGTAAAGGCCTCCATAATTTTATATATTTTTTAATGTGTATTATTTATTTTTTATTCATTTTTAAAGTTTTTTATTTAAAAATAATAATTTTTTAATTTTATTATTTTAATATTTTTAAAATATATATTATAACTTTTTATATTTTAATAGGATCAAATAAGTCTTATTTTAGAATTAATTAGGTTAGAGGTATTAAGGGTAGAAAATTAATGTTTACTCCTATTGAGGGAAGTTTTAAGTTTTACTCCTATTTGTGCAATTATGTTTATGTTTACTTCTATATGAGGCAATTTCTATCTAATAAAATAAGAACTGATCACAATCACCCAAAATTTACAAAATATGATATAAGACAAAGTTAATGCGTCAGATGAAAAAGGATAAAGTGTGACAAAGATAGGGAGACAGATGATGCAGTACT